TGGTGCAGAGTTCTCAGGAAGTTCAGCTTCCTGCAGCCTGGAAGGCCCCAAAGCTGGATGCGCCTCTAGCTGCCTTCCTGGACAAGAGGGCTGGGCCCTGGGACAGCAGGGCACACGATCTGACTGCCCACCTCCAGTACAAGGAGAGAAATAAACACCGCCTTTGACTAAGCCTCTCTCCCTTCGGATCTGCCGTTACACACAGCTAGACACTAATCTTTTAACAACTTTACCATTTCCCATTTAAATCCAACGGTGGACAGTGTCACCATCCTGGAGTGCTGAGAGCTGGGGATGAGGAAGGATACTATTTCAGATTTAAGTTGATTAACAGTCCCATTTTCCCAGAAAGAGAACTTTAGACAAAGCATTCTCAAATTTACCCTGGGCTCCAGGCTAGGGTGAGTACATTCTCACAAGAACTTATAAGCAGAAGATTCATTTTGTTAGAATTATTTCATAGAACAGTTTCTTCCCAACATAACCAACACTTATAATCTTAAAAAAGGTAACAAACTCTATTTCCAGGCCTGCTTGAGTAGCAAGCTTAAAAGCTTTAATGTGCCGAATTCCTGTTTACTGCCCCAAACATTTAATAGCGTGGCTTGCATATTCAGCACAGACAAATCTAGGTTATGAGGTAAAAACAGCCCTCGTTTTTATCCATTACAGCTCATCCATTAAATTAGGTCCTCAGTCTAAGCCACGGGCTGCGAGCTGCCGTGACGAACACTGGCACCGCCAACAGTTTATGGTGCAGCCGATACACTGGTACCGCGGGTGTGGAACAGCGGTCAGATCGTGCCATGGCCAGTTCCAAGGAGTGAGACCGCGCTTACACCCCAGGAATTTGATCACAGCTCATCCGATCCTGTTTGAAATGAACCGTATCGACGACAGCTGAGAGCCCTCTTTGCCACGGAAGGGGCTGAGGCTGTGCTAGCTGTGAGGAGGACAGACCTGCACACCAGACAGTGTGGCCGGAGCCCCAGAAGCCTCGGGGCTGGGGCGCACGCAGGCTCACAGCCCAATCGGCTAGTCCCCAGTGAGAAAGGCCTACGTGGCCCCAGGTTAGAAACTGACGGGAAGTAATCTTAAAATCTGGGTCTCCTTAACCTGCTATCATGGAGCATCCCTTCTCTCTGAGCCAGTGAACCAACCCTGCAGAAGGCTCCTCGCTGCTTCCCAGCCCATCTGCTGGCTTTTCCTCTGTCTTTGATCAACAAGGTGAATGCCTAGCTCGGTAAAGATATTTGACTAATTAAAGAATGATTAAACAATTAAGTCGACTCAAAATCCAAAGATCTCCCTCCTTCTGCTGGGCTTATTCAAAATACCGTATAGTTCAAAGGCACCTAGATGACAATCACGAAGCGCGTGTCCTAGAAGAGCACCAACTATTTCCAAGACTGTTAGTGCTTTCAAGTGAGATGGCGTCCAGTCCTCGTCGGCTCTGCAGGGTTTCAGGAAGACACACAAATGAAGAGTGTGACAGCTTTCACCAGCGGGCACAGCCCTGAGCTAGGGGGGCTCCTCCAGAAGGGACAGTCCTCCTACAGTTGTATCCACCTGAAGCTCTTTCTTTTCAATCAGCCTGTGCTCTGACTGGTAACTTTAAATTCATGTACCCTTTGAGTTAAAGGTCAAGAATGTCTACTAAGAAATAAAACAGCCCAAAAAGAGAGTTAAAGGAGGTCGGAGAAGTCAGAGAAGGATGTCACACTGCCAGAGAGAATCCAGAGATGCATGAGAGTAACTGTCCATAAATTATCAGAGAAAAGGAAACTCTTAGGGAGCAGAGTGGTCTCCAAAGAGAATGACAACGACCTGGGCTTCAACACAGAGTGCAGTTGTGCTGCGGTGTGGGGACAGGGCGCAGGGGGAGGAGGCAGGGAGGAACCAGACACTCCACATGGGCCAGGAGGAGTCTGGTCTGCGTGGTGCCCAGGGAGCTCCCACCTCCACTAACACGCGTCTCTGACACGGAGCTTCTCCATTCTGGAAAGCTGCCGCTGAGTCACTGCAGGGGGTGGGAGAGTCAAAGAGCCCAAAGCAGGAGGTGGACTTCCAAGGCCACAGACTCAAGACGCACTTCCCTAAATAGACTGTATGTATATGCGTGTCTGAGCCCCAGGCCAACCAAATCAAGCATACAGAAGACTTCGCCCACACTGCCCTCAGGCACCATCACAGTCCACAATGCACGACTGGGGCCACGGGGCAGAAATGCTGGGAATGACCTTCACTATATGCACAAGGAAGGAGGAGACAAAGATTCAGGCCCAGCTTCACCAAGTCACCTGCAAACTGAGGGCAAAACGCAACTGCCCGCTCAGGGCCCTGTGGGGCTCCTGAGCACAAGGCCTTTGGGTCCCACATCTCTAGGATTATAAGAAACAGCCTTCACTCAACTTCCATGACCTTCCCTGAGTTCCAACGGGAAGATTCAAGCAGTTATTAGGGAGAGGGAATGCAAGACCAGGGAGCAACAGGCAAGAGGAGCTTTGGGGCAAGGTCCTGGTTCCTCATCAAAGGGCATCACAACCATACCTTGGAGCTGTTTTGTAAATACTGAACTCCATTCCAGGTGGAAAAAATTAACAATTAATGTCGGTATGCAGCCCACAAGCATGTAGACCCAGAACAGTTGAACTTGAAGGCTGATGATGCTGACTCCTACTGACCTCATCACCAACCCATTAGAAGAAGGTCCACAAGCTGATCACACCCTCTTCACACAGTAACGATAAAACTTCTCACTGTCAGCCCCAAGTTGGGACACAGGGTTCTGGGGGCATTAGCCCGCTATAGCCCCCTTTGCTTGGCAAGGTACTAACGCTATCCTTTTCTACTTCACCCAAAACTCTGTCTTTGAGATTCTAATCAGCACCAGTGCGCAGAGAAGCTGAACTTTCCGCATCACGCCTCCACCCCAGGTGGGCGGTGACCAGTTCGGTGCTTCCCCAAGGCCAACCAGCTCAGCCACCTCTCCTCCTCCAAACCAGAGCAGTGACAAGGTCTGGAAGAATCTGGGGCATCTTGATATTTCCTGACACACAGCCCCATTCTAACTGGACTCTGTCAATGATTCCATTTTATAGGTCATTTGATTATCACCTAATTATGCAATGTGATCACTGTTTAACATGTGTTTATGCAGAACACAGTCAAAGCAATCAGTAAGAAATGTGAAAATATTTAACATTCCACTGCACACAATCACAAGTTTCTATGTGCTTTAGGGAAAAAAAAGTGTCAGCAGAAGACAGCTGGGTCAGTGACCACCTGACTGAAGCTCTAGGAGTCCAGACCCCTCCCCCACTTCCCTCTTCCTCCTCCTGCCCACATCCTTCTCCTCTGACCTTTGCTGGCAGTCCCCTGCCTCTCAAAACCTCCTTCTTCCGCAACATTTCCCCTCAGAGGTGCCCTGAGCAGGACTCAAGAGATGGGACACACTCCAGCCTTTTGAATACACGTTTTAGAACAGGGACACAGTAGGAAAAGGGGTTATCAAGACTGCAAAGATGCTGGGCCTCCTGCGAGAAGGTACCTTCCCTGGTCAGGCGCTGGCCCGGAGCTGCAGGGCACAGACCTCTCCTGCCCGTACTATTTACTCCACTCCCCAGCCTATCCCCATCAGCCAGGCGCCTTCCCCATTTGCCACATGAGAGTTGACTCAGGTTCTTGTCCAGCACTTTCTCTTCCCACATTCCAACTTGCCCTGCTCAAAAACCAGACACAGACGGCCCGAAGACATGAGTGCAGAGGCTGTGACACAAACCAGATTCCCCCCTGCTGAAATAACCGTGACGCTGTCAATGGCAGCCACGGTGACTGAGGCGTCGTCCCGTCACTGTCAAGCCACAAAGGTGAGGGGGTGTCACAGGCAAAGTGGGGCTGGCCTCAAAACAAGGCGGACACTAATACCTGTCCGCATCCATCTCTACCTCCATCCCCGTTCCCTCCCTCCCTCGGCAGGCCACTGTATGCTGATCTCCCTGTTGGAAGGATGGGTCAGGCATCCAGAGTCAAATCCTGGACCTCTGACAAGCTGACACGCTCCCTGCCACTGCCTCCGCACACCCCATCCTGCTCTGGTCTCCGCGTGGCCCTGCTGATGACCCCCAGCATTGTTAGGAGGGTCAAACACCACAAAAAATAAACCAGAGTAAGACCAGAAAGCTTAGGCCCTTGCCTAAGGCCGGTCCTCAGGCGGCCAGCTCCACAACCGCCCCCACACCACTGAAAGGCCCCTCTCGTTTCAGACTGGTGGCTTTCCAGCCAGGGTGAGCCATGGCCCCCCGAAACCCCCTCCCCAGGAAGAGACCCCGTGTGTGTGCACGTCCAGAGGCGCCCTCTGCTTTCTGTGCTTGACTCTTGGATTTATTTAAAAAAAAAAAAACCACAAGAAGAAACAATCACAATACCCACTCACACCCCACATGCAAATAACTAGATGTTTTATCAAAAAAAAAAAAAGCTTCCCCTCCCTGTAGGAAATCTACTTGGATATTGGATATTCTGTATTCTATTTCAGAAAACATTTAAATCTCAGGCTGATTTCACCAACCACTGCATCTGCAAACACGTTCTGGTCCCTCAGCCGCTCTTCTGCCCTCAGCCATCAGCACCAAAGCAGTGGCACTTAACCTCAGACGGCTCCCGTACATCATTTTTACATATTAGGATGGACCTTGAAAGCCGGGTGAAGCCAAGAAAATCCAGAAGTACCTCGGCTCTCGAGCTCCAGGAGAAACCTGGAACCCTGCGGGGGAGGGGGTTCCACTCACACAGACGTGCAGAGGGGCTGTGCCTGGGGGTATCACAACGCTGATCACATGGGGGGCGCCAGGGAGAGGACCTGCTACCATTCAGAGGGCCCCCGAGGTCACCGCCCCTGCAGGCCAGCTCCTCCGACAGTCCCCAAGCCCCTACGAATGGCACGGGTCCGTTTCTTCCTAATCGAGTGAGAAGCGGCAGTGAGTGCACACCCCACGCACCTAACGCGCTCCGGGACCTGCTGGGGGAAGTGAGTGAGCAGGGCCCCGGTCCCCACGCCCTCGGGGGCTGCTGTCATCAACACCATCCTGGAGGAAGGTCAGGGTCTCGCTCAGAGAGGCTGCGGGAGGAGCTGGCACTCAGCCAGGTCCATACACTGGGGCAGGGGGGCCAAGGAAGGCAAGGCTCCTTAGACACTTCGCACGCCCCTTGGCTGACACCATGGGCTGATCTCCCAACTTTTCTCTGCTGCCCGCCTTTTCTGAGAACTTTCCTCTCTGGATTCTGGAAACAGCAGCCAGCCCCATTTCAAGCTGAGGATTGGGAGGTGGCCTTGATCAGTCTGAGAGAGCAATTCTCATACCTGAACTTACAGGAGAATCACCTGGTGGGCTAGTCTAAAAACAGACAGCAGGGCCCTCCCTGAGTTTCTGATTCGGTTGGCTGGTTGGGGCCTGGGACTGTATGTCAGACAAGTCTCGGGTGATGTTGGGGCTGCCGGTCTGGAGACCAGGCTCAGAGAAGCACAGCTAGGTCAGTCAGCCCGCAGCCCCGTGTTCTGGGTCTGGGGAGTCCGTGCGATCCTCACCGCTCCCACCGGCAGACGCCGGGGCTGGGGACCGGCTGGCAGGCCTCCTTCACACGGTCCCGCTGGCCCTAAGGATCATCTCATAACCGCTGGGAGGCTGACCCTGGGATGTGGAATCTAGGTCCTCGATGAAACTGCTGCTAGAGAGGGCTCCGGCTGAGACACTCAACGTCCTTACTGTCTATCTGGCAGGCGACAGCACTCCAACCGACTGGGCCCATAATCCACAACCCCAGGGAGACTCCTGAACTGGGCGTCCACATCTCCTAGCAGGGCCTGCTCTCCAGAAACACCCGCCCGCCCACATGCCTTTCCTTCATACTCCCAGGATCTGCACACCAAGGTCATCCTTCTTGAAAGCTCTAATTAATGGGCTAGAGAATGCACTGCTGAAATGCGAGCAGGGAAGCACAGGGAAGGAAAGAAGGGCCACGTTTGGGAGTGAGGGAGTTTTACCAGAGACTACTGTAACAGCCGCTCAAAGGCTCTGGTGAGGTGCGGAGCAGCGGACAGGGGAGACCCCAGCACCCTGCCTGCAAGTGGAACAGGTGGGGCAGTGCAGGGTCTCAGGGTCTGGACAATGACCAGTTGTCTGAGAGAAAGGCTCTGAGAGGTTTCAGGAAGGAAGTTGGGGGGAGTGGATCTCTTGGCGCCTCCAGCGGTCCCCTCCCTTCCTCCTGGAGGCCAGAGGACACCCATCTGTTTTCCTGAACCTATTCCAGAAAATGGACACTCATCTCTATCCCCATAGCATGCCCCCCCACGCCAGACACTGCCTGCTTCTGGCACCTTCGCCAGGTGACCCCTACTGAGCAAACTCCAGTGGAAGGGCCTGCAGCGTCTCAGCTGCCCCAGGTGAGGGGCTGGGCAGACACGAGGGCCGGCTAGGCTGGGGCACAGGCGAGGTCCACAGAGAGAGGAGGCGAGCACCCAGGAGCGCCGGGCTCCCACTTCCCACCTGGGTTATGTCGAAAGGGATGGGTAAGCGATTAAACCCGACGCGAGAGGCTGCTCTGATTTCCAGTTCCACATGGGCTCCGGCACATGCTCACCATATAACCCGGCCCTAAGGTTCAGTCCCGGGGAGCTCTGCCGGTGTCAAGCGCCACTCCACACACCCAACGGGTCTTAACTCATTCACCCCTGAGACAAGCCTCTGGGGTTGCCACTGCCTTCAGCCCAGCTTTACAGATGAGAAAACCAGGCACAGAAAAATGACGCCACTTCCCCAAAGTCACACAGCCAACTGGAGGGTCCACAACAGTTCCAGGAATAAAATAGTTGGTTTTGAGAGATGTGTATGCTCACCAAACAGGACCGAATCAAAAAATCCTTCACTGACACATCAAAAACAGAAACTGCTGCTACTGGGGACTCCAGGTAGTTAATGTTCATCCCCACACTGACACACAGAGGCGTTCATTGCAAAGTCCTGTGAAGGAAGCTGTGTAATTTTGTGGAAATGGTGCTAGATCTAGGTAGACCTGGGTTCAAACCCCAGTTCAACCACTTATAACCACCCCCAGGTGGTGCCTTACCCACACCTCACCTTAGCCTCCCCCTCAACACCATCCGCCCTCTCCCAGGACCTTGCCGGGGGCCTGGTATGTAGGGGTGCTCAGGAAATGTTGGTTTCCTTCTCCATTAAGGATGAAAACGGCATTGCCCTTAAAGGACATGTCGAAGGCTGCCATGAATAAGGTGCAAACTTATCGTACGTTCCACAGCACAGTAGGATAAACAACCTAATAAGGAAAGGATGTGAACAGGTAACCCACAGAGGGTGGAAAAAACGTCGCTCAGTCGTGTCCGACTTTGTAACCCCTTGGACTGCAGCCCACCAGGCTCCTCTGTCCATGGGATTCTCCAGGCAAGACTACTGGAGTGGCTTGCCATTTCCTTCTTCAAGGGATCTTCCCCATCTAGCAATCAAACCCAGGTCTCCAGCATTGCAGGCAGATGCTTTACCATCTGAGCCCCCAGGGAAGCCCACAAAGGATATGACCAGGAAACTCACAGCTAAAATAAAAACTAGAAAGAAAATATTTTCAATACTTTTGGTAATTTGGGAAATGTAATTTAAAAAGTAACATACTCTTAATCCACTAGTTTGGCAAAAATTAACAATATTTGTACCCTTCAGTTTAATGCTGGGCGAATTAAAGGGGGAAAGGCGATTTCACACATCATCTGTGCTCTGACGAAAAGAGAGATAAAGTCTCTTGGAAATGGGATGGGGTGAGGAGGGCAATTTGGCAAAGTTATGCATTTAATACTATGCATTAACCCAGAAACAAAAAGATCTTAACGACCCAGGTAACCACAATGGTGTTATCACTCACCTAGAGCCAGACATCCTGGAATGTGAAGTCAAGTGGGCCTTAGGAAGTATCACTACAAACAAAGCGAGTGGAAGTGATGGAATTCCAGCTGAGCTATTTCAAATCCTGGAAGATGACGCTGTGAAAGGGCTGCACTCAATATGCCAGCAAATTTGGAAAACTCAGCAGTGGCCACAGGACTGGAAAAGGTGTTTTCATTCCAATCCCAAAGAAAGGCAATGCTGTAGAATGTTCAAACTACTGCACAATTGCACTCATCTCACACACTAGCAAAGTAATGCTCAAAATTCTCCAAGCAAGAGAATTCCAGAAAAACATCTCCTTCTGTTTTATTGATTACGCCAAAGCCTTTGACTGTGCGGATCACAACAAACTGTGGAAAATTCTTAAAGAGATGGGAATACCAGATCACATTACCTGCCTCCTGAGAAACCTGTATGCAGGTCAAGAAGCAACAGTTAGAACTGGGCATGGAAAAACAGACTGGTTCCAAGTTGGGAAAGGAGTACGACAAAGTTATATATTGTCACCCTGCTTAATTAACTTATATGCAGAGTACATCATGAGAAACGCTGGGCTGGATGAAGCAGAAGTTGGAATCAAGATTGCAGGGAGAAACATCAATAATCTCAGATACACAGATGACACCACCCTAATGGCAGAAAGCGAAGAGGCACTAAAGAGCCTCTTGATGAAGGTGAAAGAGAGTGAAAAAGTTGGCTTCAAACTCAACACTCAAAAAATGACAATCATGGCATCCAGTCCCATCACTTCATGACAACTAGATGGGGAAACAATGGAAACAATGACAGACTATTTTCTTGGGCTCCAAAAAAAAATCACTGCAGATGGTGACTACAGCCATGAAATTAAAAGACTCTTGCTCCTTGGAAGAAAAGTTATGACCAACCTAGACTGTACATTAAAAAGCAGAGATATTACCAACAAAGGTCCATATAGTAAAAGTCATTTCCAGTAGTCATGTATGGATGTGAGAGCTGAACCATAAAGAAAGCTGAGCACTGAAGAACTGGTGCTTTTGAACTGTGGTGTTGGAGAAGACTCCTGAGAGTCCCTTGGACTGCAAGGAGATCAAACCAGTCCTCCTAAAGGAAATCAATCCTGAATATTCATTGGAAGGACTGATGCTGAAGCTCCAATATTTTGGCCACCTGATGGGAAAAACTGACTTCTTAGAAAAGACCCTGATGCTGGGAAAGATTGAAGGCAGGAGAAGAAGGGGACAACAGAGGATGAGATGGTTGGATGGCATCACCAACTCAATGGGCATGAGTTTGAGCAAGCTCTGGGAGTTGGTGATGGACAGGGAAGCCTGGCGTGCTGCAGTCCATGGGGTCACAAAGAGTTGGACACAACTGGGCGACTGAACTGAACCCAGAAAATCTACTTCTGGAAATCTAGAAGACTGAAACATTTGTGTTGACAATGATGTTGTTCACAGATTCCCCACTATTTTTAGAGCAGAAAACTGGAAACAACCTAAATGTTAATCAAAAAGGATAGTTAGGTAAAGTACTCACACTCTGGAATACAGACCAAACATTTCATGTCAGTACATACAGGTCTCCAGGACATAGCATTAAAGCAAATCAAAGAAAATTTTGTATAATGTGTCTCCATTTATAAGTGAGAACATCCGTCCACTAAGGAGGTCTAGAAGCAACAAGGAGCACACCTAGCACCCAGATCTGAGTTTTTAAATTCCAGTCTCCAAAAAAAGGAACTTGAACTCTTAGGGAAAATGGCTGAATTCAGGACTAGAAAGTACAAGCTGAGTCCTGGCAGTTTGGGGCCAGAAAGTAAAGAAGTTCCCAAAGAATGAGAAGGACATGTCAAAAGGACCTAGGAGCCAGCTGGAAGGGGCTCCTGCAGGCCAAGTCTGGGACAATTTAAGCAGAAAAATAAAGAAAGAGGAGACTTGTCTGGTGGTCCAGTAGTTAAGAATAACCCTTCCAATGCAGGGACACAGGTTCAATCCCTGGTCAGGAAATTAAGATCCCACAAGCCGGGAGGCAGCTAAGCCTGCACACCACAATTACTGAGCCCACACACCACAACTAGAGCAGCTCCTGCATCATGCAGCTAGAGAAAGCCCACCAGCCCCAATGAAGAGCGGGCACAGCCAGAAATTTTAAAAAAATGAATAATGAGAGTAACTATGTTGCATAAAACAGGTGTTCATGAGTGCAGAGATGTAAATTAGAGTAAATGAGGGAGAAAGTAAAGATCTTCCTTTTAGTACAATTCCAACTAATAAGCATGGAAAGAAACATGAAATTAGAAAGTCACCATCTGTCAACTATCATAACTGATCTGGGTAAGAATCATCAATGGATTCTAAAACTGCATATTTACATAGTCGCAAGCGATCTTATATACATGCTAACAACAAAGGGAAAATGATAACTTTTGGTGAGGAAAACAGGCAGACACCCTCTTAATCAGGTCATGAAAGTTAGGACTAGAGAATGGAACTCATCAACAGCATCTGCCTCCCACCACTTAAGATGCCTGCAATATCACCCCTGTGCCGCATCGGCCAAAAGTGCATAAAGTGAATCTAAGTAGGAGGAAACCGCATGCAAACCCAAACTGAGGGACATTATCCAAAACACAGGTAACTGTCTCCAAAACACAGGAAATACAAAGAAAGACTCGGGAACTGTTCCGGATTAAAGGAGACTAAAAAGGTGGTACAGTTTAACACAACACATAACCTTGGATTTCCTTTTGCTCTAAAGTGGCTACTGGCAAGATCGTGAAAAAGATCTGTAGATGATTAGTGTTGCGTCGACATTTAATCTCCTGATTTTTAATCATCATACTGTTGTCCTGTAAGAAAATGTCCTTATTTCATATGAAACACACAATAAAGTAAAAGCAAAAGCGTATCAAGGCTGCAACTTAACATTAAACATTTCAGAGAAGACTCTGTGCATCGTGCTAAGTCACTTCAGTAGTGTCCAACTCTTGGTGACCCCATGGACTATAGCCCACCAAGCTCCTCTGTCCATGGGATTCTCCAGGCAAGAATACTGGAGTGGGTTGCCATGCCCTCCTTCAGGGGATCTTCCCCACCCAGGGATTGAATCAGCGTCTCCTGCATTACAGGCAGGATTCTTTACCATTAGCACCACCTGGGAAGTCCTGAAAGAAGAGTGATCCCACACAAACATGAGAGGATAAAGCAAATGTCAACATCAGGAGAATCTGGGTAAAGGGTATTCGGGAACTCTGGATTATTCTCACAATTTTTCAGCGAATCAGAAGTAATACATTAAAAGACTTTAAGAGACCAACGTGTGCATATGCACAGAAACACAGGTAAACTCCTGGGGGTAAAGTTCATGATGGTATTTTTCTTAAAAGTACAGAGAGACAAAATGAAGCCGGCCTGCCCCAGAGTTAATATTGGTCCCCCCAGAATCAGCTCTCCTCACAAAGCTTCTGCTCCGGGACACTGGAAAAAGCTGTGTTGAAGGATCTCTCAAGACTAGGACTAGCTCCTTAATCAAGTTCCACAGGAGCAGCAAAGATGTAATCAAGCCGCCTTCTCTGCAAATGTGTGCTACTTTTCCTCAGTGAAAGCCAAAGATTCCCAACGCTGTGAGCAGCTGATGATGCTACAGGGCCCTTCCTGGAATACATAATCTCTAAAGGAGTTTTTCATAAGAAACCAGGATAAAATAGTCTTGGTCCCATGTCTCCACCTCTACTTTCACTAAATTCTTGACATGTTACGCCATGGGTTGGGGGTGGGAGGCTCAGTCTGTCCCACGGGCTTTTTAGTTCCATTCCCTGGTCGCATTTGTAGATTTGCTGGCTGAGGACAATGCTCCCAGGCAGGCAGCTGCCTAAAGGGACCTGAAGGGCCAGTAGTTCTATCAGATACAACCTGTCTCTTGAGTGCTTTACCGCTTACAACTTCTCATGTACATTATTTGATTTCATCCTTTCCCTAAATTGATTTTTTTTAATTACTAATGGCTTAAAGTCTAACAGCAATACAACAAACTATCCAGTTTCCAAAAACAATAGGATATAATGTCTACTCTTAGTTTTGAGTCTAGGTTGGAGGCAGTACTTGCACCTGAGCAAACTGACATTCTGAGATGGCCTAAGCCTAATGAAAAAGTTAAATAAAATAGCTAGTAGAACATGTACAAATGATTCTACCACTGAGCTCACTGGAAAAACAGCCTTCCTTTCTATGAATTTTTCCAGCGTTTATTTCTTTAAGCCCTGTCTTCAGGGCAAACTCTCCTTATAACTGTAACTTTGGCTTGTTTATAAGACACCACAGAGAACAAGGCCTTGTGGACTCCACTCACATGCGATGACACCCTGGGACAGCACCTCGGCCTCCTGACACCAAACCTCTACACAACTACACGACCTTCCCACATGGGCACCATCACTTCAACTTTATTCCAAGAAACCAGTGAATTGACTCTTCCAGAAATAAGCATTTCCATAAAGAACCCTCCCAAACAAAGGTCCTAGCCTAAATCCAAAGGCAAAAATTCCTGATAAAGAAAGTCTGTTTTCAAATAAAAATTAGGCTTCATTCTAGGACAACCTATAGCTAGCCTATGTGCATTTACCAATGCCAACAGCACCCAGATTCCAAAACAAACTCAGCACAGTAGGTTTTGTTCTCACCTTCCAGAGATGAGAAAATTGAAAAACACAGTTAGCAACTGGCAGATGCAGGACTGGCATACAAGATAGCTCGTTCCATCGCCAACCCTACTGCCCACAGTCCATACCATCCACCGTGAATAGAGATGAATCAGTCAGAATCTCACTGCAACATTCAAACTGCCACCCCACCCCCTGCTCCCTCGGTTTAGATGCCCAAATGGGCAGGTGGCAAACCAAATTCCACTCTTTAGCAGTCTCCCAACACAAAACCTATTCAGTGGCAAAGCAAGAAGACTTGATGGGCTTTACAACTGCCTATACTTTTTTCTTACCCAGAGAATTATTTTCAAGACCTGTCATTATGGATGAACTCAGGGCAGGAGGAATACATGATTATGTAATGTCAGAGGGCAGGCGACAAGGGGAGGGAGAGCCGAGCCCATCAGACCCCATCACCGCTCCCTCAGCCCACAAAGACGTAAATTACCGTTGACGTTTCGAGTGTTTCAATCTCCTATGGCCTACACATTCAGGACTGGCTTTTCAACAGCCGGTCACAGAAACCCTGCGGGTCTTTCAGGCCTCAATTCATTGACTAGCAAAGCCATGAAGAAAGAAAATATCAAAAGCAAAGATGTCAGAAATGTTGTCGAGGGCTGTGAACCGGCAGAAAAGGTCAGAGTTTGGGAGGATGGGACCAGATTCCCTACATCGAGGGGCATGTTTATTTTAACCCGGTTCTGTTTACACCCGAAACACCGCGAGGCCTCGGCGTCTGGAGTTACTGGATCCAGACCTGGAGACGCACCAAGCACGCGCCGCGACCTGTTTGGCCTCGGGGGCGCCGCGTCCCCGCATCCCGGCTCCCCACCGCCCACTCCAGCGCCGCGCTCCCCTCAGCCCCAGGTGGCCCGAGGCGTCATCCGGCTGGGGGTCTCTGGGGTCGGATTGTTCTCCAAAGACGCCACCGCCCGGGAACCGCTAGGCTGTACGATTTCCATGACAACCGCGGGCGCCGTCCGCGTCCGGCGCGCCCGGCGTCGAGACGTGCGCCGCGCCCCGACTCCGCCCTGGGAGCATCCCGGTCTCCGGCGACTCCCGGCCGCCGCGATGCTCCCGGCCCGGCCACCTACCTGGCGCGTCCGGGCCCGCGGCGCCCGCGCCCTGCGTCCCCGCCGTCCTCGGTCCCGCCGGGGCGCGCACCCGAGCCCCGCAGCAGCAGCGCCGCCTCTGGGTCGCGAAGCCGCCTCTGGGCTGCGGTCTGGCTCCAGGTGTCGGTCCCCGTCCCGGCCCGCGGGGCGCACCCCAGCCGCGAACCCGCAGCCCGCGCTGCAGCTCCGAGCCCGCCTCCGCTGCCGCCGCAGCCGCCGCCGTCGCCGCTCCGGAGGCCACGCCGGCCCCGCCCCCTCGCCACGCATGCGCGCTCCCCCAGCTCCCGGCAGGCCCGCCCTCACCCCGGCAGATCCTCCTCCGCGGCGTTCCGTGTGGGTTCCTTCGGAACTCGCTCTCCGCTGTGACGAAATCGCCTGCAAGGAGCTCTTGAACTTCTGCACTTTAATTGGACGATGGCGTTTTCGCCCTTAAGTATACTGAGGCTTGGAAGCCCTGACGCATTCCCGAGGAAGAAGGCCCCGGAGAGAGCCGCGACCCCAGGAACCGCGCTGGCCCTTTGGGGAGCGCGCTTCCCGGGGTCCTTCGGCCTCATCTAGGAAACTGAACATTCAACCAAAAGATAAGCAAAATTAAAATCATACTTTGATGATACAGATAAGCAAAAAGAAGACAGAAACTGCTTAGACTCTTCCAGACTGTCCTGGCATATTGTTTAAATATACATTTATAGACTCTTAAGAAATAGCAGCTCCTTACACCTCTCTCCCAAAGTTCTATTTTTCCGTAGGAGGGAAATATAGAAGAGTCAAAAGTTTTAAAAGAAAAATTTCACTTTAATAGGACTTTAAGACTTAACATTTCTCTTGAGGAAGAGAAATAAATGGGCTGAATATATTTATCTTCGTCTTTATCAGAAAAAAAAATTCTTGAATGAAAACTAATTCAATAAACCGGAACACTTAGTCGCAGCTCACATCCCTCAGGTATAAAAGCAACAATGTACAATTTACTTTAAAAAGAGCAGATGTTAACCTGTTAAAAATGAAAATTAAACAAAACTCCTCTAACATTTAGATCTGAGCTTCCCTATGTCACCAAAAGCCAAACGAGGACAACAGTCTAGAATAAAAATAAGTAAATATAAAACTATTTTTGAAGTTTATTTTCTGACTTTTGTCTTCCAAAAAGAAATTTACTCACAAAAAGCTTTCTATTATTTCTTTAGATAAATGGAAAGAAATATCAACAGAACCTTAACCCTAGTATAATATTAAAGTTAAAAAAGAAATCAAACTTGTGGAAATGCAAAAATACTTTTATACTTTATTTCCTAAAATTAGGATGACCATTATACCTGGTATAGCTGGGACAGTCTCAATTTACACCTTTCATTCTAAAAAGTGTTCTCGAAAGTGTTCAGACAATATGTTTTATGGCCTTGTTAACTTTAATCAGGGCTTCCCTGGTAAAGAATTCACCTGCAATGCGGGCTTCCTGGGTTCCATCCGTGGGTTGGGAAGATCCCCTGGAGGAGGGCATGGTAACCTACTCCAGTATTCTTGCCTGGAAAATCCCCATGGACACAGTCCCATGGGGTTGCAAAGAGTGGACAGGACTGAGGGACTAAGCAAAGCAAAGCAAAACTTTAATCAGGCCAAGAGACTGTTTAAATCACTGACTTAACAAAGAAGAAGGCAACAAAAAAAATTAAAAAGTAACAAATTTAAATTCACAAACATCTAAAAATCGTCCAGCTTCCAATAACATTAGTCACTTGATCACTGTGTAATTCACTTTTTAACCTTATAAAGGTTAATTGTATTTTCAATATGGCAAGGAATGGGACCACGATTTCAGTGTAGAGTGAACATTATCAAGAAAAAACGGAGCCAAGTTTGTTAGTAAATGTGGTACTAGGCATTCCCTAAGCATCACAACATAATAGAAGAAGGTATCCTAGAAGTGTGTCTGTGGGAAGATATCACCATCCTTTAGAAACTCTCAACCTGTGGTTCCCTAACAACAGCTGTTTTTCCCAGTAGTCATGTATGGATATGAGAGTTGGATCATAAAGAAGGCTGAGTGCCAATGAATTGATGCTTTCAAACTGTAGTGCTGGAGAAGACTCTTGAGAATCCCTTGGACCGCAAGGAGATCCAACCAGTCATCCTTAAGGGAATCAGTCCTGAATATACATTGGAAGGACTGATGCTGAAGCTGAAGCTCCAATAGTTTTGCTGCCTGATATCAGTGAAGAGCCGACTCATTGGAAAAGGCCCTGATGCTGGCAAAGATTGAAGGCAAGAGGAGAAGGGGTCGACAGAGGATGAGATGGTTGGATGGCATCATCAACTCAATGGACATGAGTTTGAGCAGACTCCAAGAGATGGTGAAGGACAGGGAAGCCTGATGTGCTGCAGTCCATGGCGTTGCAGAGACGGACACGACTGAGTCACTAAACAACAACAGCATTAACATCTTCTCAAAACTTGCTAGAAACACAAGTTCCCAGGTTCCACACCAGACCCGAATCAGAACTTGGAAAATGGGCCAGGAAATCCATATTTTAACAAACTGACCAGGGATTCTGATAAACATGTGCAGTTAGATCATCTATAATGCTATTTGGGGGACTAGAACCAACCTACATGAGAATTTCTCTGGGGGCCTTTAAGCATGATAAGAGGGCTTCCCTGGTGGCTCAGATGGTAAAGAATCCACCCGCAATGCAGGAGACCCGGTTTGATCCCTGAGTTTGGAAAATCACTGGAGAAGGGAATGGCAACTCACTCCAGTATTCTTCCTGGAGAATTCCATGGACAGAGAAGCCTGGTGAGCTACAATGCCTGGGGTCGCAAAGAATCAGAACTGACTGACTAACACTTTCACTTTCAAGCAAGATATATTTGTATTTACATGTCTTTTCACTGGAGGATATACGTAGCCTTGAAAACCAGCAGGCCTGCTGTCGTCGTAGCTGTGAAAGCCAGCAGCCTCCCAGCCATCAGAGGGGCAAAAAAGGATTTGGAGCACTTCATAAAGACCCGTCCCCAGGGAGTCCTCCCTGTTTGACTGACCTGGCAGCTCACCGGGAAAGCTCCATTCTCAGGGCTGGTCTTTTTTTTTTTTTTTAATTGGAGGATAATTGCTTTACAATATTGTGTTGCTTTCTGCCGTACGTCGACATGAATAGGTGTTCAGGTGTCTCCCCGCCCTTGGCCCTCCCTCCCGCCTCCCACCCCATCCCACCCCTAGGTTGTCCCAGCACTGGTCTGGGCGCCCTGTGTCACAGAGCGAGTGCCCGCTGCCGTCTGTTTCACGTGTGGCGATACATACCTGTTACTGCTACTCCCTCAGCTCGGCCCACTCTCTCCTCCCCCACTGTGTGCACAAGGCTGTTCTGTGTGTCTGCGTCTCCGTTGCTGCCCTGTAAATAGGTTCATCAGTACCCTCTTTCTAGGTGTCATGTGTAAGCATTAATATGTGATATTTGTTTTTCTCTTTCTGACTTACTTCGCTCTGTATAATGTCTTTAATTGACCTGACTCAGCATTTATTTGGTGCAACTGGCCCTATCCACAAAGCATTTACTGAAAGGAATCAGCAGTAATTATTTAACAGTGCAACTGCCTAAGGTGGTGATGCCGGTGGAGCCAGCAAAAGGCTGACCAGTTAACCTAAAAGGAAAGGATGAGGAAGACTTACATGGGGGAACTTTGGAGAGACCTGAGATACTGCTCAATTATGTATGAAACGTTCTCCAGGATAGGCTGTTGAAAGGTAATTAAAAAGTCTCAATAAATTTAAAAGGATTGATATCATACAAAGTATGTACTCTGACACCCATGGTATTAAAATAGAAATCAATGACAAACGGAAATTACAAGTAGGTGGAAATTAAAAAACACAGCACTCAATAACCAAGGGGTCAAAAAGAACTCAAAAGGGAAGTGAAAAAACATTTTCAGAAAAATTTCAGTGGAAACTCAATATATCAAAACTTTTGCAATGCAGTTAAAGCAGTGCTTAGAGGAAAATTTATGGCTGGAAACAGCTATATTTTTTAAAAGACTTAAAATTAGTAACCTAACCTTTCTCCTTAAGAAACTAGAAAAATAAAACAAAACAAAAAAAGCAGAAGGAAATAAAAATGATTAGAATTGAAATTAATGAAATGCAGAATAGAAAAAAAGAAAGATTAATAAAATTAAAAGTTGGTTCTTTGAAAATATTAACAATTTTGACAGACCTTTAGCTAGCTTGGCCATAAAACAAATTAAAGAGAAGATTCAAATTGCTAGAATTAGGAGTAAGAGAGGAGACATCACTACTAACCATTTATATCAATAATAAGGATTATAAAGGAAAACTGAACAAGTTAAACAAGCTACAAAACTTAGATGAAATGAAGAAATCCCTGGACAGAAACAAATGAAATAAACTGAAAAGAAGTAGAAAGTGTGTATAGATCTTTAATAAGAAAAAAATTTAATTAGTGACTTTATAGCATTCCATTAAAAAAAATCCTCAGGCCCAGATATCTTCACTAATGAATTTTAATAAGCATTTAGAAAACTCTTTACAAACTCTCACAGAAACTAGAGGAGGAAACACTTTCAAACTCTTTATATGAGGCCTATATTACTCAGATACCCAGACACAGACACTAGAATAAAGGAAAACTCCAAATCTATATTCCTTATTATATAAAAAAAATCCCCCCCCCCAAAAAAATACTAACATACTGAACCTAGTAACATATGGAAAAGGTTATATGCCATAATCAAGTGGGATTTATCCCAGGAATGTAAGTTTAACATCTGAAAATCAATTAAGGAAATACATCATATTAATAAATGACCCAAAAAGTCACATGATTTGACAAAATTCAGAAAACTAGGAATCAAAGAGAACTTCCTCAAATTGACAAAGAATATTTTTGAAAACTCACAGCAAAGATTATACTTGATGAAAGACTGAATGTTTTACCTCTAAGACAATGAAGACAACAAAGATGTCTCCTCTTTCCACTTCCATGCAATATCATATTGAAGGGTCTATCTAGGGCAAGTAGACAAGGAGAAAAGACATCCCAACTGAAAAGGAAAGGGTAAAACCATTTGCAGGGTTGACTCAGATGGTAAAGAATCTACCTTCAGTGCAGGAGACCCAGGTTCAGTCCCTGGGTCAGGAAGAGTCCCTGGAGAAGTGTATGGCCACCCACTCCAGTAGTCTTGCCTGGAGAATCCCGTAAACAGAGGAGCCTGGCAGGTTGCAGTCCATGGGGTCACAAAAAGTTGGACGGAACTGAGCAACTGACACTTCCACTTCTTCACATATATATAAAAGCCTAAGGAATCATATACTTTTTTAATTAGAATAAGCCTGTTCAGCAAGGATGAAGAATATAACGCCAATATTTTTTATAAATGACCAACAAGCAATCCAAACATGTAATTAATAAAACTCCC